GCGGCGCTCCGCCGCCTACTTTCTCCAACCGTGGGGCCGCACCACCGCCCCCCTCCCCTGGACGGCACTCCTCCTACCTTTGCACCTTGAAGTGCCGCTCAGTAGTACCATCTGCACCCTGCGTGACTGCGCGCATCCTGCAGACCCACAGGCCACTGGCTCCGCTGCCTTACTCTACCGGTGGCCCCTGCACTCTCGCCGCAAGGTTTCCTCTCTCCTGGCTACGTTTCACACCTGACATCCTCCTGGCGCTGCCTTGGCCGCGCCGCGGGCCCTTCAATTGCGGCACTCTGCCGCTCTCTTCTGGTGTGCGCACCTCCTGCCTTTGGATTCAGGTGCGCGCCTCGGTAATACCGTCCACAGCCCGCCCGCTGCTGGACTGGCGGCCTCCGGGCCCTATTGTAGGTCTTTCACCGCCTGGCGTGCCCGGGCCCGTGTCTGCGGACGCTGGCTTGCCTGTCCACAGGCCCACTCCCTGGATCTCGTAAAAGCTGAACGGCCTTCCGCCGTGACCCTGGATCGAAGTGGCTCTAAGGGATACGTCTTGGGTATATGACGGTCTCGTCCCTCGGGTGCTATCCGACTCGGTTTGGGTAGCGCTGAGACACTTTGGATGTGCACGCGCCACGTGGTCAACCGTGCTTCGTGCACTACGGCGCCCTCCCACTCGGTGGATCTGGGCTGACGCATCTCAGTTGTGGAAGGTTCTCCTGTCATCTTGCTCCACACCCTGGATGCGCGTTCTGGCGTCGCGACATGGATTCGCCGTCAGTATTTCCGCTGGATTTATTTCCCCAGTCAGGCTGTGTTACCCGTCAGGCTCCCTGGATCGGTGTCATCGGGAACTCTTAAAAGCTGAACGGCCTTCCGCCGTGACCCTGGATCGAAGTGGCTCTGAGGGATGCGTCTTGGTTATATGACGGTCTCGTCCTTCGGGTGCTATCCGACTCGGCTGGGTAGCGCTGAGTCACTTTGGATGTGCACACGTTACGCGACCGTGTATCGTGCACTACTGCGCCCCTCCACTCGATGGATCTGGGCTGACGCATCTCAGTTGTGGAAGGTTCTCCTGTCATCATGCTCCACACCCTGGATGCGCGTTCTGGCGTCGCGACTGGAGTCGCCGTCAGGATTTTCCGCTGGACTTACGTCCCCAGTCAGTCTCTGTTACCCGTCAGACTCCCTGGATCGGTGTCCTCGGGAACGTCCCTTCTGTTCGCATCTGGACTTCTGGGAACGCCTCACGCGCCATTTTGGCTGCGCTTGGTCTCCTCGGTGCCTGTCCTCAGGCTCCCTGGATGCACCGTTGCATGCCCGTTCAGGGGCTGTCTCAGTCTCCCTGGATTGCACGTCGGCTCTGCCGCCCTGGGCGCTGCCCCCCCCCCGCCGCCTGATCTGCGGCCCCCGCGCGCGCTCGGCAATTTAGTCGCGGCCGTAGCCCGCTCGCGACCTCCCGCCGCTGGCGCTTCCGCCTGCGGCTGTAAAAAAAAGTATCCCCACCAGTTTGCGCCCCAGTCGTTGATCCCGCTTCATGACCTCTGTCTTGGAGCCGCCAACCAAAAAGTATCCCCACCAGCTTGCTTTCGCCGCCTGACCTTCGTCTCGCGGCCGCGACCGAAAAAAATATATCTCCACCAGCCCCACGGCCACCCTGGTGCCCACGCAGTCGACTGAGGTACGGTATCATGCTTTCTCTCTCGGAGCTGTCCCTGGCCGTCGTTTATATTCCGACTTGGCGCTTCCGACAGACTTGCAGCTTTGCGCGCTGGCAGTTCCCCTCGTTTCAGTCCCTCCAGCCATCCACCTGACGTTGGGCCGCTGCGTGAGGCCTCGGCCGGCGCGTAGCTGTTGCCTTGCGCGTCGCCTCTGCTCTAATTTTCTCGCGTTTCCTCTGCCGAATTAGTCTCTGCGTAGCCCGTTTTGACCTGACTCGCCGCCGGCGCGCTCGCCCGCGGCCGCTGACCAAAAAGTATCCCCACCAGCCCATCCAGAAACAACGCACAGGCGAGTAGAGGGTCGTCCTGAGGGGGCTTTTCGGCGTCTTGGGTGCCTCGGGGGGGCCTCTTTGGGCCGCTTGGGTTCCTCTTGGGGGCCTCCTGGAGGCCTCTCGGGGCCTCTTGGGGCCATCTTGGGGCCTCTTGGGGCCTCCTGGGCGCTTCTTGGGGCCATCTTAGAGGGCATCGATCAAAGAAGACGGGAGCTACAATTAGGGTTGCTCCCTCAGGAGGCCAAAATAGGGCCAAAACATGGTAAAATCAATGGTTTTGGCTTCCTCGTCGAGGCCGTTTTGGACGCCCTGACACCTCCCCGCCCCTCCCGTCCAGGTCCACGGGGAGGGGGGAAAGGAGGACGGGTAAACCCCTCCCCGGAGGGGAGAGGGAGGGGTGGAAGAGGAAACGCCTTAAACCACCGACGCCCAGAGGGCTGGAGGGACTTCCGAAATGCTGTTTGGAGATCCTCTTGGGGCTTCTTGCGGGTCACTTGGGAGCCTCTTGAAAGCCTCTTGGGCGCCTCCTGGGCGCCTCTTGGGACTCTCTTGAGGCGATTTGGGGAGCCATCGGGGCGGTCTGGGGGCCATCTTGGAGGAAATCTATCAAAGAAGAGCCGAGTTTCAATTAGGGTTGCCCCTCCAGAGTGCCTCGAATCGCTTCTTGGACCCCTCGTGAGTCGATTTTGGAGTGCTCTGGGGCGCTCTTGGTGCTGTCTTGGGGCTCTCTTGGGCCTCTCTTGGGGCCCTAGTGGGCCATGTCGGAGCCATCTTGAGGCCTCGGACGGCCATCGGAAGCAGAAGGGTGATAAAGCAACAAACATTGGTTTTCCTTAGGTTTGGGGACGATTTTTGGCCTCGTCGGGGCCTCGTTGGGGAGCTCTTTGACCACTTGGAGCCATCTTGGAATAATCTTGGAGCGTCTTGGAGCATCTTCGGAGCCATCTTGGGTGATCTTGCGCTATCTTGAGCGATCTTCGAGGTCATATTGGGCTCTCTGAGGCTCCCTTGGGCCGTCTTGGGCCATCTTGGACGCTCTGACCGCTCGCGGCCCCCCCCGTCCAGGTCCACGGGGAGGGGGTAGGGGGAGGGGTAAACCCTTCCCCGAAGGGGAAGGAGGGGTGGAAGAGGAAACGCCCTAAACCACCGACGCCCAGAGGGCTGGTGGGATTGGGGGGGGGGGGGGGGGGGCAGCACAGTGGGGTTTCACGCAGACTTCGAGGACCTCGCCATCCTTGGGGGGGGGGGGCGTCAAGTGCTGAATATTCGGCAAGGAAAGATGCGACACTTCCTTGTCTGGTTGCGTCTCCACCTATGTTAGTTTCTCTTGTCCGTGCTCTATCATCTCGCCGCTTCTGCCGAGGCGATTGTTCTTCTATCCCGATGTCTACTTTCTGCTTCTCCTTCCAAGTACAATATCTCCTGGCCTTTTGCACATGTGTTCTGCGAGTCGACCACGCACACTTCGCACGATATATATATATATATATATATATATATATATATATATATCCGCTTTGCACCGTCTCTTGCAGTGTTGCTGTCGCACTATTGTCGGCACTCCTTCTATCATCTTTTGGTGCAGGTGGGTTGGGCACGTCGCAGGGTGATTTGTGTTACTGCCTGGCTCTGCCACCAAAGTCTCGCCGACTTGTCTCACCACCCTTTCCACTCGACGCCCCCGTGATGCACCATTTCGGGTGTCACGCGTTGTGCGCTCGCTGTAGGTACTCAAATAAGGCCACGCACTGTTGTGTACGCGCCAGGCGTTCGTCAAAGAGGATTCGCCCATGCCTCCCGCACGACATCGCGGCGTGTCTGGAGGACGAAATGTTGGGCCTGGTCGGTTTGGCTCTCCCGATTGTTTAGTGCTGAACCCCTGCTGACCAGCGGGGGCTCCCGCGCCTATGCGGCGCTTCGCCTCTGGAGGACCTCGTCTGCCCGCCAGTCGCGGCCACAGGCAGCAAGGAACGGTCCAGGGGGGAGGTGGGGTGGGCTCTGGACCTCGGGGGCTCTCTCCCGAGAAGCCTCTCCGATCGATCATGGGGGGAGCAGGCTTCGGCCACGTGGGGTGCTCCAAAGGGGCGCCGGCATCGGCGATCGAGCCTCGCCCACGGCGGAAACCCGGCGCAGGCTTGCGGAAGCAAGACGGGGGCGGGTCCGCTGGCGAACCCAGCGGGGGGCTCGGCGGAAGTCAGAGGATGGCGAAAAGAGACAACGGTCCTTGGCCTTTCGGGGGGCTCCTTCGTAAACACTGCTGGGCGCAGCTCGGAAAACCAGGTTCGCCGATTTTGAATAGCCGTTGTCTCAATTTGTCCGGCTCCAGGGGAGGCTGCGGAAGCAAGCGTGTGGGGCGTACGCAAGCATTTCTGGGTTCAGGCTTCCGGGGTCGCCCATGTGGCATGGTCCCGGGGTGCCCAGCAAGAGTTCGCCAAGCGCGGCCCTCTTGGCGAGGGCCTTGGAGTTCTCGGAGGAGACCCCGCTTCATTCCGCTGCATGGAAGAGGGGCGTTCTGCGGTCCACCAGCTGGAGCGTTCCATCAATTCCCTAGCAAAAGAGCAGCTGGTACGCCTGGCGCGGGTCCACCAGCGGGGCGGCGCGTTTTGCTGTTACTGCTGTTCGGGTTGCTCATGCTCATGGTATTGGTGTTGTTGGTGAGCGGTGACTGCTGTCGCTGCTGCTGCAGCCCGCTCGTAATTTTTCCACCCCCGCAATGATCTTCCTGAGCCCACTCATCTCTTCTCGTTGCGCCATCGTGGATTTCTGTTTCTCTATGTATGTATGCATTCGTGGCTTTGGCATTGTGAAGCGAAGGCGCACTGCTCGCTGCCAGATAGTGCACATAGTGCTCATCGGGTCATATGTGCACACGCGTGAAACTGATTCCTTATGCGGCGAGCGCGCAGCAAATGGTACATGACTTGTTTACCTCTTCTGTGCAATGTTTTACGTCTGTCGGACGATAGTCAGTATGGTGTGAGAGGATGAAGGATTGCATATGTAAATGCTCAAGGCACATCCCCGAGCAGCCATGGTTTGTGCAGCCCATCTCCACGGCGCTCGTCGGCGGCATCATGCCGTTTGGTGCCGTCTTTACGGAGCCCCGCCTCAATATCTTAATTGTTGTTTGGTTCTGTTGGTGTAATCTGTTAACCCATACTACTGCAAAAGCTGCCATCGCCGAGGCAAATTCATCAGTCGAATCCAGATTCTCATGTTCAAGGCTTGGGGGCATGTAGTGGTTGAGGTGTTGGTGCCTCGCAACCGTGAACAAAACAAGGACTCGGCTCAGGTTTAGACGGACGTGCCAAGTGATGTGCTCCAATATGCAGTCGGAGTAGCACGCGCAAGCCCAATGCGGCAGCGCTCGAACATATCTATGCCCAATAAGCGATGCCTTCTCACCATCATTTGAACGTCTCGGCTCGGTGGCTGTCAAACTTCATATGTTCGAGACAGCGAGAGAGAGAGAGAGAGAAAGAAAGAGAGAAAGAGAGAAAGAGAGAGAGAGAGCGAGAGAGTGAGAGCGGGCCCCAATCACTGGGTTCTTGCACTCGCGGTGTGCAACTTTGGTTGGGCTTGTGGTGCGATCTTGGTAGCAGCAGCAGTACCTGTAGTAATAGTAGTTGTCACATTAGCAGTAATCGTTGTGGTGACTGTATGTTGTTTAGTTCTCGATGTGCCTTCAATGGGGTGCAATGTATGGGGTGCAACCTTTGAGGTGCAAGTTATTTCGTCACTGTCGAAGTTGTCAAATCAAATGCTCGAGCAGACATTCCACTTTTCCACGCTCAACTTGTTAACACATCTCAACTGGTGCGGCAACAACGATGTTGACGATGACGACGACGATGTTGTTCATGACGACGAAGGCGACGATTTCGATCATAAGCACAATGACGATGGTGATGAAACGAAAGGTGATGATAATGCCGGTGGCAACGCTGACGCTTTCGACGATGATGATGCTGGTGATGATGATGATAGTGATGATGATGATGATGATGATGATGATGATGATGATGATAGTGATGATGATAGTGATGATGCTGATAGTGATGATGATGCTGCTGATGCTGATGATGATGGTGATGTTGATGATGATGCTGCTGATGATGATGATGATGATGCTGATGCTGATGCTGATGCTGATGCTGATGCTGCTGATGATGCTGCTGATGATGAGGTTGATGTAGGCACAGCGGGTATGATAGCATAAATAAATCATCTGCAGCGTTCTCGGACCGAGCCTACCTCGCGCTGCGCGCCGGGCGCGCCCGCAATTCATGCGTGGAGGGTCCGCGGCCTGAGCACGGGCTGTTCACGAGCCTGTCCCTGGATTCGAGGCCTGCCCAAAGCCCATTCCCAGCGGCGAGGAGGCAGCGCCAGAGGCGTCGGAGGACCCAAAGGGGGTCCCATGGGTCGTCATCCCAGAGAGCATCCACCGCGGTTCGCCCAGAGGAGTGGCAAGTGCCGAAACTGTGGTTCGGGCCGCCCCTCCCGCTGGCAGTCACTGCTACGCAATCTGGGCCGTCCGAGGTTCAATCGAGGACCTCGTCGGGGTGCACAGGGGAGGCGCGGTCGAGTGTCAGGCGATCGTCGCTAGACTCGGAGACGGCGGGTACGCTAGCGGGTGGGTTCGCCTGCGTCGGTTCCCGTCGTTGGCAAGGTAATCGACCGGTTCTTCGATGAGCAACGGGACTATTCATATACTGTCAAGGTTTTCGACTGGACCAGGGCACAACGACGACGCTGCTTTCGGGGGCGCTGCAGCAGACCGGGGACGTCCTGCTTCGCTCGTGGCTGTTCGAGCTGACCATGGCCGGGGCCCGAGGCGCCGGCACGGCAGCACGGTGCGAGGCCCGTGTCGTCGGCGCCAAGGTCGCGAGGCTCGAGGGCCCCGTCGCCGTCGACGCCCTGGCCCAAGACTACCTCAGCGACCTCGAGCTGGAGGAGCTGATCATCGTGGTGCCTGCCGTCTGCCTCCCTTGCGACACCAGCTCGCTCGCCTCCGTAGACTATGTCCCGGTGGCGCTGCGAATCGCCCTCGCGAGAAAATGCCAGCATACGTGGCCTGCGCGAAGGTCTGGCCCGCGTTCCTGGCCAGGCTCGCCGACACCTGCGGGGAGGGCGAGGCGATCGAGTTCTTCGACTCAGCCGGCGGGTCTGCTCAGCGGGGCCTGCTCGAGCTGGCCGACTTCGCCCCGCAGCCCGACGACTGGAACGTCGGGGTCCTTCTCCAACCCGTTGCGTTCCCCTCCCCCGCCCCTGGGGGCGAAGTTGGGCGCGTCGGCTTCCAGCTCTCCGTCGACGGTCAGATCGGTGGGGGGGGGGGGCCTCGCCGCCGACGAGCGCGATGGCGAGGGCGTGGGAGACGGCGAGGTCGACGCAGCCCGCGAGGCTGCCGCGCAGGAGTGGGCGGGTCGGCCGCGCGGCGCCCGCGTGGCTGGCAGCCCAGGCGTGGAAGGAGAGGGGCTCTTGGCGGGGCCGGGGGGCCAGTGGCCCCGCCCGCCTCGCGCCCCCCCTCATCGGTCGACGCCGCCGCTGGCCGCGTCGGTAAAGAGACCCGCGCCCGGCGCCCTCCCCGCTGCCAGGGCGCGCGCGGGGCGCGCGGCGAGGCGGGGGCCTGCGGCGAGCTGCGCCGAGAGGGCCGCAACCCCTGGGCGCGTCAACGTGTCGCACGACGATGTGCAGAGCGCCCTTGGGAGCTTCGAGCGCGAGCATCGGCGGCCAACTGAGGGGCTCTTCGACCCGTATCGAGCATGTCGATAAGAGAAGCATGAAGGCCCGTGGCCTCGCCTCTGCGGGAGGCCCCCCTGCCGCTCCGGGGTCGCTCCTCCAGGCGGGGCCCTCCGTGGGCGCGCTGGCGCCTGCCCCCGTGGTCTCGAGCAGATCCTCGTTCCAGAGCTCGCCCGCGGCGCCGCCCAGGAGGCTGGTTTGCTTCTGGGGGCGCGGCGCGCGCCGACGCCTCCCCGTTCCGGGGCGGCGGAGGAGGCGCCGGCGGCGGCTCGGGGGCTGCCCCGGCGGGCCGACAGGCCCCTCCGCATGGGCGGGGCGGCCGCGCGGCCCCAGAGGAGGGCTGACCGCGACCCGGCCTCGAACTCTGGAGCGGCGGACCCAGTGGCCAGGATCAACGGCGCCAAGGGGCAGGGCCATCGAGCGTGAACCGCAGAGGTGGTCTGCGCGCGTCGACGCCGCGGCCGTTGCGCCCTGGGGCGTCGCTGCGAGCGCGTGGTCTACTCGTGGCCTACCCTCCCCGCGATGTTTTGTGTGTGTGTGTGTCTGTGTGTCTTTCTTTCTTATATATATATATATGTATACATATATATATAAATATATGTATACACATATATATATATATATGTATATATATATATATATATATATATATATATATATATATCCGCAAGGGCTTCACCCCATGCCGCCGACTCCCTGTTTCGGATAATGGGATATGCAAGAGCTAAATCATTAGGTCTGGGCGCCGCCGTGAAGCAGTGCCAAGACTTGTTTGTTTTTCGACCCTGACCCTACGGATCTGCGTCAGGGGTGCCACCGAATTTCAGAAATGTTGCAAATCCGGTATGTTTTTGGAGCCTGACCTCGCCGATTTGCGTGAGGGGTATTAATTTTAACCCACCCCAGCAATTCAGACAACATGCTCAAGGCGTGTCAAACCTGCCCGTTTGGGCCTGTCCCCCCGCGCAGTCAATCATCAAGGAAAAGTAAACAGCAAGAAGCATAACTGTAACAGTGGAAACTGGAAACTGCAACTAGTACAGGAAACTGCGAACCTTCGGCCTGCAGCCTGGTGGCCCCACAAGGGGGCCTGTGTCTTCACAGGCCCCCCCGGCAGTTCTAGTGTCCTCTGTTCCCGTTCTGCCTACGCTCCTCGGGGGCGCACGTGCCCACTGAGTCCGTGCTGCTCCGCGCGTCCGTCCGTGTCGCCTGCTCAGTGCGCGCACCCGGTGACGGACCACCAGGCCGTGCGACGGCTTCCGCGACGAGGGTCAGCACGCCTCGTCACACTGCGGTCGAGCTTGTGCTGATGGGCACTCGTCTAAACACGATTCGCCCGATTTTTACTTGAGACGCCTCGCGCACCCCTCGACGAATAATATATATATATAGACATATACGTGTGTATATATATATATGTATATGTATATGCACATATCAGTACATATATGTATGTCTGTCTGTCTGTCTGTCTGTCTGTCTGTCTGTCTGTCTGTCTGTCTGTCTGTATGTATGTATGTATGTATGTATATAGGCATATGTATATATATATACACATGTATATATGTATATATGTTTATACATACATATATATGATATAAAACCGCGTTCCCACATTACGGGGGGATGCATCGACCCCCAATCGCCCATCGATCGCCGATGGGGGCCCGATAGCCCCAACCTGCCCAGGGACGTCAGATTCAGCATCCGAGGCCTATCGCCCATGTGTCGGCGATGTGTCGCCGATTCCAGGTCGACGTGTCCCCCCTTTTGCCAGTCCCCTCCCTATCGTTGCCCCTCACCACTGGGCGAGAGCCCGGAACTCCCAGCCAATCGGAGACACATCTAGTTGTCAGGCATTCCTCTGCGCCGCGTTGCTTCCCTTCTTGCCCTCCTGTTGCGCAGACATCAAGTGTGCAGGGTGTCAGCAAGTTCACGGCCATTTGCAGTCGTGACGTTGGATCCTCACCAGTGTGAGCGAATAGGGCGCGTTATATCCAGAGCGAAGCAGGCCTTAGTTTCATGAGCTGCAGCAGGTGCAGAGCAAGGCGGCGGGTGTCGTCGTCGTTGCCGCAATGCGTGTTGCCAGGAAAGAAGACCTTATCATAATAAATGTAAACGAGCGCGACCGCCGGATCCATCAGGACCTGTATTTTTCTTGCTGGTAGTGCATGTGGAGCCACCGTCGATAGTCTTCCGTTTCAGAGTACTTACGGCCGTCATCGATACCGCTCAAGGCAAGCGAGTCCGCCGGGGCCTGTCCAGCGTGTCAAGCGCGCTCTGCGGGCACAGCCCATTGCTGCGAGGCGCCCAATTACACCCATCACTTCTCAGGGCTCGATGTGCTGCGGTTGCAGAAACTCGCGGCGGCCGAGGCGGAGGGAAGACCGACATTGGTTTGACATCGGAGTGGGCAGCATACGTTCTCTCCTGTCATCAGGGGGTTGGGGTACACGAGGCTGGCTCAGACAGAGGGGATCTCTCGGATGGCTCTGGTATCCACGGTGGGAGATTCCAGAAATTGGCTTGGGAGACCGACATCGGAATCTACTCGGGGCTGCAGCTTGGCGCCATCCAGTGTTCGGAGGCGAGCGAGGTGGGGAAGTGAGAAGGAGAAGGCCTTCTCAGAAGGCGGCGGGGCTTCTCAGAAGCCCTCACGCCCTCTGATATTTTGTGTCTCCAGGGAAGGCTCGGAAAACTTCTCAGGCCGGGGGACCTCCGAGACTTTTGAGGAGGCCCGCCCCTTCTCTCTTCCTCCCTTCGCTCGCCGCCGAAGGGTATCCAGAATCCCGACCCCCCCCGCAGGGCTGGATGTCTCCAGGGGTCTCCCAGGGTCTTGGAAGGCCCCCGCAAGGAGGCTTCTAGAGGCGTTTGGAGGCACCCCCAGAACTGTGGAGAACTTCAGAAACCCCCGAACCATGAGCCTGGGGTCGGCGTCACCCCAACATACAAGTACTATGTGTGCGTCGCCTCCCTTGGGGCGACGCGCGCACCGAGAAATCTGATAGTACATGCGTCGCGGCGGGCGCTTTCTGGTCATACTGCTTGGGAAACGATATACTACAATATGGGTATACTATATGTTCGGATCGGACGCGCGCTTCCAAAGAGGCTATACAGTACGTGTGTCTCTGTGCCTTCCATGGGGGGCAGCAGACAGGCCGCATTTCGAGCCTGGTTTCGCCATTGGTGCAGAGGAGCTCTTCTTCATCATGTCCTCGCTCTGGCAGCACCAGTTCTACTACCTCTTCGGATTTCTTGCCCTGGCGCCGCCCTCATAAAAGGAGGGATCAGTCAGTCAGTCAGTCAGTCATGCCATACGCCGTAGCGCGTGGGCGAAACGAAATAACATGATGCGCGCTCGCTGGAGCCTCCGCTTTACGGTTGCTGCGGCGGCGCAGGCAAAATAGGATATAATCTAATGCACAACCGGCTATCTAGGGGGGGGGTCGACAGGGGGAAGGGGGGTAGGAGGAGCAGGGGAACAAGAAGGGGGAAGGAGCAACCTTCGGCACGGGAAGGGGTCCCAAGGGAAAGTGGCCCAACATTTCTCGTCGTCTTCGGGCCGCTTGTGGAAAAAAGCTGGCCCCAGGGAATCCCCGAGGTCAGAACCCGCTCCCTCCAGGACCCCTCCCGGGCCTCCACGCGGTCTGCGCTTCGGACTTTTTCCTTGCTGCCCCGGACCAGCTGCCGGCGGGCCCGGGGCCCGAAAGCGGCTCCCAGAGGCCGACAACGGCGAACGACCTCCGTCCTGGTCCGGAGAAGAGAAACAACGGCATAAACGTGAACACCTGGAGTTCCGTTCCGATCTCTTGGATCGGCACTGGACCCCCCTCCCCGGCGCTCTCCCCGGCGCGTGGAGCACGCCAGGGTCGGCGCCGGAGGCGCCGCCAGGGAGGGCCAGGGCAGATCAAAGAATTTCTCGCGCGGACCTCCGAAGGCGTACGTTTGTGAAGTTTTTTCTGATTCTTCTGATGTTTTGTTCACCAAGTGGTGGGAGCGCAGGGCTTGCCCACGTGCGGGCGCGCAAGCCGACGGTGCGGAGCCACTGGTGGCCCGCCGAATAATAACCTCAAAGATGCATAGTCTTTCCCAGTCCGCTGGGAGGGACTCGCGAGGCCTGGATGGTTCTGGCAGAAATCTCATGAAATGTAAAAACCTAGACATGCGATGTCCTGTTTTTTTTCAGCACGGGGTCCCGAAGTCGCGACCCTTTCCCCAGGGTTGGGTTTTCATCCCGAGCCGTTTCTTTTGCGGCCCCAGGGCCCCGCGAGGGCCCCGAGAGGCCGGCCAAGAACCCTCCATCCTGAATCGTTTGCCGACGCGAGCATGTCTGGGCAAGGGTCAGCCGAAGGATGGCAGCGCGCGACGGGGGGGGGGGCGGGTTCAAGTCATGGGAGCCTTGTGTACCCTCGTAACTCTGTCCTTTAGCGCTTGGTAATCGATGATTTCGCGTCAATTTAGCGTCGATTTCGCGTGGATGAGCGTCGATTAGCGTCGATCTAGCGTCGACTAGCGTCGATTAACGTCGATTCGCAAGAGTCAACAAGAGGGTAAGGGAGGCTCCCATGAGTTGCCACCGAGGGGGGGGGCAGGCAGCGCAAACCTCGATAGAACATAACTCTGGGCCGGGGGAGGGTCTACCTCGCACTTGTGCGCGGCAGATCGTTTTTGTTTGTTTTTGTTGTTGTTGTTGTTGTTGTTGTTGTTGTTTTTTTTTTTTTTTTTTTTTTTTTTTTTTTTTTTTTTTTTTTTTTTTTTTTTTTTTTTTTTTTTTTTTTTTTTTTTTTTGTTTTTTTTTTTGTTTTTTTGTTTTTTTTCCTTTCCAAGTGCACCATTGAAAACGCACCCTTGGCTACCGGCCCATTTACTAACGCCTCTTGTCATGGCGCCAACATCGCAGAGCAGATTTCGTTCGGAAAACAAAGGTTGGCCCCGGAGTGTCCTGGAGAATTTCGTTCAGGATTTCGAAGTGATATTTCAGCGTTTTTTTTGTTTTTTCTCCCCCCCTTTTTTTGTTTGTTTGCCAGGAAGGAAGATTCGCAAAACAATCCACGTGAAGTTCACGCCGTTTTTCGCTCGCCATGTCGGGGTGTTGCGCCGAGGGAAATCCACGCAGAAATCCACTGCAGCACGTCTGCAAGGCCGGTGCAATGACCTTTTGCAGGGGTTCCAGGGAGGGAGGGCGCGCAGCGCCGCGGTGGTGCAGGCGCCCCCGCGACAGAAAGTCCGCGAATGCCCACGCGCGGTGCGGGGCGCCGCTGCCCGGGGGACTCCCCGTGCGCGGGCGCGCTCCTGGCCCCAGCGCCGCGGGTGCGCAGGGGGGGCGCCCGTTCCGCCGCGCGCGGAGGGGGGTCATCAGTGAACAGCGGGCAACCGACCCCAGCCCCCACAACTACGGTGGTGGCGTTTGCGAAGGAGTGCGCCCAGGAGACGCCAGACTCTGGAGGATGACGGGAAGCGCGCATAAACTCGAAGAGTCGCGCGATGGACGTTGCCGTAGGCCCGGAGGGACATATTTTCAACTGGGAGGAGTCTGTCGGGGTTGCTCCGTGGTCAAGGCCTGGCGGATGACTGGAAACGCGCATAGAAGGCCCTGGCTCGACCGATTTTGGCGTCGTTTCTCGAGTCTGCGGGGTCGCAAGCCCCCGCACAGCATAATCATCAGTCGATGGCGGGACTTGTCATGTTTCGTTTCTCTTCTGCGCGCCATCGCTAGCCGAAGTTCACTACGCTGGAGGGCCGAGCGTTCGGTGGCGGCGCGACCACCGTGGAGCTCCGTGTCGCAGGATGATTACCATGACGGGAGCGAGCCAATGCACAGCATATGGAGCTATCACCGCGCCCACCGTGCTATGCTCGCCAAAGGGCGGGTGTGGCCGGAGGTCGACCTTCATGAAGGCCAGGACGTTGCGGCATATTCCAGCATGTGGTTACTTCAGACGGTGACACAACTTATTCGCCTAAAACTCGGATCTGGGACCGCCCCGACTACATCATCACGCCTTCCCCGCGGCTAGAGTCCACGCGGATTGCTTCACGGGGCGGTATCACAGTTACATACGTATGCAACACAAGCCACATCGACTTCTAGGCCCCCGCCGACAAGCCCCAAGCACGACCTATCACGGCGGCTGCCCACGCAGCATGCCGACGCGACAAGGATGAGTTCTTCGACAATGCGTATCGAGCTTTGGGTTGTATCCCCTCTCGTTGTGCACCGTCACCACACGAAGTGGGACAGGCCAGCCCGCGGAGCGAGTGCCAACCACAGTGGGCCGACAAGGGACTGACGAAGCGCCGGTTTTTTGCCTTCTCGGATGACATGGGCTGCATGATCAAACAGAAGCAGGAGGCTGTTGGGTGGGCCACCTGTCTCGCCGACCAACGTGCCCCCACTGGTGCCCTGTGCAGAGAGGGCGCCCTTGAAGGAGATGGCCAAACTCGTCCCCCAACCCGAGGGCAGCCATCGTGCTACCTACCGCGACACGTGGCCCTGGAGCTCGAGAGCAAGGCCAAGACAAGGCTGAACATGGACCGTGCGGCGGGGTCCTACAACTCCGAGGGCAAGACCGCCAGGGCGGCAGCCGCGGAGGCGGGCGAGGCGTGCATGGGGGCACCCGCAGGGCAGGCGACGGGATGCCCTGCTCCGAGCGGACCTGTGCCACCTACAGTTGGCACTTCGAGGGCGCGGAACCGCCCTGAAGGATGACGCCGCCGTGGAGGAGAACGTGGCCGAGAGCATCTTGCTGCAGGTCCTTGCGGCGCCCCAGGAGGCGTCCGCTGCCAGCGAAAAGGCCCCTCAGAAGAACCTGGTCCAAGCGTCGCGCTGCTGGATCGGAGCGACTGACCGCCGCCGTGTGCTGATCGAACCCATCCCGCAGACCAGGGGGCGTCGAAGTGGCAGGAGCTTGCGGGGCTTATGATCGACGGCGACCATGCTCCTCGCACCGCGCCGTGAGCTCCAGGAAGTGAAGTAGTAGACTCGGATGTTGGGTCTACTTCAGGTGAGTTCACCAGGTTGCATGCGCCAGCGCTCATGTCTCCAGTAAATCCTGCCGCAGGCGCCTTTTTTTCAACGCTTGTGCCTCCTCGTCTGCCCTCCTTCCTTCTTGGCCCGCTGCGTTGGTGACTTTGAGTTTGGCTCGGCCCGCAGCCCTGCCCATGTGTAGCCTGGGGCGTTGCCGACTTCGCATTGCTGGTAAGGGCGGCCCCCGCTATGCTGTACGATGCTTCTCCTTCGAATGCTGCGTTGCGCCGTTTGGAAATCACTGCTCGCCGCCAGCCCGTGACCAACGGGTCGCGTGCTGATGTGCGGGTTCCCCGCCGGAGGTTGGTAGGCTTCGTGTGTTGCGTCCGTGGGCGCGCGCGCGTGGGCCGACCTTGCGGTTGGCTTTGTGAATACTCGCGAGACCTCAGTGTTGGGGTTGCGTCTTCCAAGAAAGCCCGCGTGGCGATGGACTTTGGTGCGGGCCTGGAGGGAAATATTTTCAACCGGGGGGAGTTTGAGGGGGGAAGGGCTCGGGGTCGCTCCGTTGTCGGGGACCTGGCAGATGACGGAAAGCGCGCGTAGACTCGAAGAGTCACGCGATGGACGTTGGTGCAGGCCCTGGGGGAAATATTTTCAATTGGGTGGGGTCTGAGGGGGGAAGTGCTCGGGAGTGCTCGTCCATCAAGGCTTGGCGGATGGCGGGAAGCGCGCATAGAAGGCCCTGGTTCGAGCGATTTTGGCGTCGTTTCTCGTGCCTGCGGGGTCGCAAGCCCCCCGCGAAGCAGGATCATCAGTCGATGCCGGGAAATGTCATGTTTCGTGTCTCTTCTGCGCGCCATCGCTAGCCGAAGTTCACTACGCTGGAGGGCCGAGCGTTCGGTGGTGGCGCGACCACCGCGGAGCTCCGTGTCGCAGGATGACTACTATGACGGGAGCGAGCCAGTGCACAGCATATGGAGCTATCTCTGTAGATGTTTGGTGAGAGCGCCTACGCGACATGCAAACTTGAGGTTGGTGCACGTTATTGCCAAGCTCTTTGATTTCACACGCTTCCCGTTCATGTCCAGAAAGGTTCCCCAAACGAGCGATTTCGCTCGAGACATCCTCGCTAAATCGAGAGGTTGGGGGTCGTATCGTAAGATGTCTTTTGTTAACCATGGGCGTTTCGCCCGAGACATCCTCCAACCATGGAATTCTTGAAATCGCTCGCCTAATTTTCGGATCCTCGAAAATTGGCGTTTCGCCCGAGACATCCTCGATAACATGGGATGCCGA